AAAATAATATAATTTTAAAATATTTTTTATTTAATTTTTTATAATACAAATTAATACTTACTTTTTTTTCATAAAAATATTAATTATATAATCACACATTTTAAATTTATAATAATATGCTAAGTATTGTAATTATAAGACTTTGGCACTTGAAAATATTGAAAAAAAAAAGGATTTTAAGAAGAAAAAGAAGTCAAAAAGGAAAATAGACAATTTGTAATTTATTACTAGATTCTGGGAATCTTAAAAACTTGCTTTGGTGACGGACTGTGGCTTTGTGTTTTGTTTTGTCTCTCTTTGCTGCTCTCAAAAACACACGCATCCAAGCACAGACAAACACTCTCTCTTCAGCTCACTCCTTTTCACGCAAATAACGCACGTTACTCCCTTCTTTTTCCTTTCATCTCATCTGCCTTTCGACTTTCAAACCTACATTCCCTCTCGAGACTCTGTTCTCCCCCTGTCTTTGTCTCTTTGTTTGTCTTGCTTGGTCCGGATGCATCTGTGCGGTGGATGGAGTGAATGTCTGTCTGCTTGGTAAGTTAAGGAGGCTGGCTTGAAAACTCTGCTACATTGTCATGCTTTTTTCTGGTTTCTTGTTTTTAGGTTTGACTTTTAGGTTCCAAAGCAGCTTTGAATTGGGTATTCTTCCAGTTATGGTTTTCTTGCATTGCATGTCCGTTTCTTGATAATGGGATTAATATTTAGGAGGATTTTCTCATCTGGGTTTTCTTCGATTTTAGGTTTTTTGAGTTTTAGGCTTGTCAGTTCTACAAAAGGGCCGATTCTCTAGGATTTTATTGATTTTTGGATCTTGAGTTTCCAGGTTTTTCTGTTTTTCTGGTGGGTTTTTATTGTCAATGTCGTATGGACTATTTTCATGAATGCTGCAATTGAGATTTTAAGGCTGAGGAAGATTGTCAAGGATGGTTCGTGGTCCTGTGAAGCTGTTCTGAGACATGGGAATTTAGTTTGAAAACTTCTCTTCTTGCAACATGGGATTAGGTCCTGAGGCTATCCAGGTGGGGGCTTGGAATGTGGGAAAATCAAACGGAAAGAAGAAGAAGGATTGTGAAGCTGAGGGGCCAGGGTGCTGGATTAAGTTATGGTTTATGGGAAGCTGTCTATCTCCAAGGTCCAAAGGGGATGGTTCCATAAGTGTCAGTAGCTCTCTATATGGTAAAAGGCTTAATTTTTTTTCTTAGTTTGTTTCGTTTGTAGTTTTGCTTATATACTTCATCAATCATGTCTATGTGTTTATCTAGTTATACACTTGTTAGATTACTTGGCTATGGGATGGAGTGTCTATCTGATCGTTCTTGCTACTCATCACTCAGTTGTTCAGACCTATAATGCATATGATTACACTCTCTGGATAGGCTGGCATGTTACATGTTGCGTTGTTGACAATTGACATGTTGATCTCTTGTAGTTTCTCCATTTTTTTTGTCTGCTTTGGTTATATAGGTAATGTTTATGGCTATTGACTTATATGATGAAAATCTAGTTGTGTCATTTAGTGCCACATGGATGTTGAGGCATAGTTGATTTGATTTGATTTTTTGTTTTAGTGAGCATGTGATTTACACTTGTACATTGATCACCTTGATTTCTATCCAATGCATTTGCACTACCATGTGTGACAGGATGAATAGATCACCTTTACTGTTTGTTAGGTGGTGTTACTTTAGTAAATCCCTGCATTTATTGAATTTATTGGGGTTTCTTTTTCTTAAATAAGATGGCTAAAGCAGTTGATATTGCATCTGAGGTCTGCCAAGTAAACACGTCTTTCTTATTTTTTATTAATGTGCCTGAAGAGTTTTTAGTTTGATTAATTTACTGTCATCATGATACACCTGTACGCTTCCTTTTCTGGGAATGAACATGGTCCACTACAAAGGCAAGTTCCCAGCCTAGGGATTCCTATACATGTAATGCATTAATTTTTCTTTTGTTTGTTTTGCACCAGCGGAAAGTAAATCCACAAATGATACTAGCAGGGACCAACCGGTTCTTCCAGTTGTGTCAACTTCAACCACTAGCACAGCTGAAAGCACCCCATCCACTCCCAATGTAGGTGAGGAACTGAAAGTTGCTTCTCAGCTTCGGAAATTCTCCTATAATGAGCTCAAGTCAGCAACAAGGAATTTTAGACCTGAGAGTCTTCTTGGGGAGGGGGGGTTTGGTTGCGTCTTCAAAGGTTGGATCAATGAGAATGGAACTGCTCCTGTGAAACCTGGTACAGGATTGTCTGTTGCTGTCAAAACCCTCAACCATGATGGACTTCAGGGTCATAAAGAATGGCTTGTAAGAGATGTCTTCATCTATCTAGGTTTACTTAAATTTTGTGTATTCATTTGATTGATTGAAGTGTGTTTTGTGACGTTGCTAGGCTGAAGTTAATTACCTTAGTGATCTTTTGCATCCTAATTTGGTCAAGTTGATTGGGTATTGCATTGAGGATGATCAAAGGCTCCTTGTCTATGAGTTTATGCCTCGAGGAAGCTTGGAGAATCACCTATTTCGAAGTATGTAAATTTACAAATTGTTGGCCTTTCATGGTCTTACTTTTCATCATAAAGTTGGCCTTGCTTGGTCTTAATTTCCTCATCCAAGTTTAATGGCTGATAGCAACCTTTGAGTTAAATCAAAACCCTCATGAGAATTTAAAAGAATAACCTGACTAAGAATGGTGATGTAAGATACAAAGTGTCTTTTAAGATCGTTCTATATTGTAGGGAATTGGCAGGAGTTAAGACACCAACCACCA